CACTCAGTCCATGGGCCTCCTTTGTACTTTACCTTCGAGCTGCAATGGATTACTTCATTGGCAATCGAGATGCTGGGAGTCCACTTGTTTTCTCCTCAAGAAATTAACTTCATGCCGTGGACGTGTTACATTGTGTTGCCGCGGTCGACTTGGGCAAGGCTTATGCAGCGACTTGTGACACAAAGGGTGCTTGTCATTACCCCAGCCGACTTGGTTTGGACTTCTGGGATGTTGAATGTAGGGTTCTCCCTACGATCAACTTTACTATTCACCATATTTAACTTTCAGTTTCATCCTGGGAGAGCAGAGTATCAAGAATCATTCGTTGCACTTGGCTTCAGTATCTCTGGTCAAACTTTCGGTGCAATGATGTCTTCTGGAGGCAACATATGGAACAGACGATACCGAGATTACTTCATCAAGCTGCCACTTCTGCAACTTTTCCACCCGGCGGAGATCGCTACCCTGGTGTCGTTTACTTGCACAAACCAGGCACTTACTTTTGCAAGACTTGGGGAAATGTACCACAACTTTATCCAGGCGGAAACCCATTTGTGGTTGGGCCACATTCCACTTCACAAAGCGTGGCTGCGACCTGGAGAAGCTGAACTTGGTGACGACGAGACGGTTGATCCTCACTTGGTTCGGAGGATGATGCAGTATGACCTGCATCGGCCCAAGTTTTGATGGGCACTTTGTCCGCCAAGACTTCTTTGTCTTCGACTTCCCATTTGCATGTCTCACCATGCGGCAGTAACTTTTCTGTCTTTGGTTAGTAAAACTTTCGAGCATGCAGTGATGCGCCGAAATCCCCACTTTAAGGCTGCACTTGCATTGCATCTTTGAGGATGATTAGGTCCTACTTTTGCTTTGCGAACTTTTGGGATAAATAGGTCCCCGTTTTGCCGGAAACTTTCAATTAGTGCCGAAGAGCACTTAGTTGCAGCGAGCCGTTCCTTTGTGAACTTTTGGCAGTTCTTCACATCACACTTGAAGCTTGAAGATAGGAGAGCTCGTGTGAAAAAGATTTTGGTCAGTGTGCATAGTGTGGACTTCGTTTGGGAACTTTGGTTTCGTTGTGTTCTTGGGGTTCTTAGGAATTCCCAAACTTTGTCCAAGGGGGTGTGAGAAAATACACACTTCCCGAGTCCTCCAGACTTGATGTGCAGACAGCATGACCAACTTCGGTTGGCTCAAGGATCAAGACTTGATGCCTGTGCGAAAACATACTTGCAGCTTCGGATATCTCACTTGTGTTGTTGAGCTCAGTGACCTCAGTTACTTTTTCAGTGTGTGTGTGTGTTTGTATTGCGAGAGATGCAAAGAGGGCGAGGAAGTATGTCGGACATCTTTTCTTGCGTGTTGTGCCGTCTTTTGGTCCAGGGCTTCCTGCTAACATTCAGAGGACATAAAAGTCCGATCACAAGCAGAGAAACACGCATGTTCAGGTCGCATTGAATCATGACGTCGTGGTAATGTGTATGAATCGAGTACATAGAAGAGGTATGTTTCAACAATCCGCCGAGGCCTCGGGCGGCAGGTGTACAGCAGGCACCGCCCGTCGGACCGCCCGTCGGACCCCTGGGTATTTTCCCTGGGCAACCGGGATCTGCACGTGGATGGTTCGCCAGGACCAGAGCCAGTTGAAGCCCGGACCCCCCCCCCCCCCCACCCCTCCACCCACGACCCCACCCCCCCCCCCCCCCTCCCCCTACCCCCCACCCCCCCCCCCTACGCTGCAAGCCCCCCCGCTTTTGTTTGAGGAACCTTGAACTCTGAACCCAAAAACCCAACCCCAAACCGTAAGCCCTCAACCCTAAACTAACCCTCAACCCTCAACCCCAAACCATAAACCATAAACCCGGAACCCTAAACCCCTAGTGGTAGTCGTAGTCGTCGTCGTCGTCGTCGTCGTAGTAGTCGTAGTAGTCGTAGTAGTCGTCGTAGTAGTAGTAGTAGTAGTAGTAGTAGTAGTAGTAGTAGTAGTAGTAGTAGTAGTAGTAGTAGCAGAAGTAGTAGTAGCAGTAGTAGTAGTAGTAGTAGTAGTAGTAGTAGTAGTAGTAGTAGTAGTAGTAGTAGTAGGGTTTAGTTATGTTAACTGGTCATATCATTGTATGAACCTCATTTGGTACATTCCGGCTTTTCGAGTTTGCTGGAAAAATCAAAAACATCCACCCATCAGGGATACCAAGCTCACGTCGACTCGAAAAAAACCCAAAAAAACACAAGACATCGAATGGCATATATATATATATATGCCCCCCCCCCCCCCCCCAGACCCCCCCCTTGCCCCCCCAACCCACCCCTCCCACACCCCCCGCCCACCCCAAACCCCCCCTGAAGAATGCTTTTGGGGGGGGCCCCCGGCGAGCATCATGAGCATCAGCGGCGTCGCTCAGAAAGAGGGAATCCCGCCTCGCCAGGGGCATCATTTTTGTGGGATTTTCATGCCGATGGCCCCATTGAGAAGCGGGGGCCCAATGATGCTCATGATGCTGGGGGGGGAAAGGGCCGGAGGGCTTGCAGGGCGAGGAACGGAGCCGATGATGCTCTGTCGGAGGAGGCTTGTGAGAGACTTTTTGCCGGCTCGGGCAGCTTGTCTTGTGCGCGCCGCGCACGCGCGTGCGCGCGCGCGGTTTGGATGGCTTTGCCCGTGCGCCCGGCGCGCCTACGCTTTGGGAGCTGCTTTTTTTCTCTTCGGGGCGCTTGGGATTTCCTTCTTGTCCTGCGCTGAATGCCTCTGCCTTCTCGGGGCGTTGCCCGCCCCTGGGCGCAGCCCCTTAAAATGAATAGATATATATATATATATACATATCTATTTATATACCTGGATCTTCTAAACCATGCTTTTTTCCAGTCCAATTTCAAAGTTCTGGTTTAGACCGGAGTTGGGCGGAACTTGATTTTCAGCTTGCGAACTGGGCGGAACCTGGTTTTTAGGCCCGGTGTAGGGTTGAATTGGGCAGAACCTGACTTTTCGTTTCTTTCCCCGGGCGTGCTGGTGGAATGCACGAACGATGCACAGCTTGCGCGCAGTGATAGCTTTGGCTCAGCCATTCAGCACTTGATGATGAAGCTAAGTTGGCATGTGCATTGTATTTGCTACAGTGCACCACAATGCATTGCCACTACTCTTGACGTGCAGTTGACTCAAGATTTTGTTTCATCCGATTGTGATGGTGATGGCGGCAGTGATGATGATGTCCACGCCTCTTTCTTGAAAGCCTACAAAGCAGGTGCTGATTCTAGTACTTCTGCGTGCTTGCTGGATCTAAGCAAATATAATATATTTAGTCTGCAATAGAACATTGGCAGATTTGATGGAGATGTTCTGGTCAAGGATCAAATCAGCAAGTATGTGCCCCAAATTACACTGTTCAACAAAAACGTCAAACAAATCACCCCAGAATCTGGGCGGAACTGGGCGGGAATTGGGCAGAACTGGGGGGAAATGGGCGCAACTAGGTGGGAACCCCTTCCCCCCCCCCAAACTCTTTACACAAACGCAAAACATCTTTCTCCACCGCAAATCCTTTCACAAACTTCCAAAACATCTTGCTGAGATCGTGCTGAGATGGTGCTGAATTCTCGATGTTCTCACAGGGAAATGCGTGCCTAGGCAACTCAACGTTTCAACTTGAAGCCTCGGATTTATCAAAACACCAAAGTCCTGAAGACCCAACACTTCATCAACCTTAAGCCCTACAGCTTCCTGTGCCACCGTGCAAGCTGCACTTCGCCAAGGCACGGGCGTGTGCACGGGTCTTTTGGTGTACTTACTCGGGCTCAAGCCCACCATCTTACCCTGGATTCTGCAACCCTACAGCCTTGAAGTTTGCGCACCTATCGCTGCGCTATTGCCCTGAACCATATATCAAGAACTGGGCGGCACTGTGTCTTGTGTACCTGTTACTCAGAAACTGGGCGGAACTGAGTGTTTACCAGATTTTCTGGGCTGAACTTGTTGAAATGGTCTAAAATTTCCAGCCCGGCAAAAGTGACCCAAAACTGAGGCGCCCCGCGAGGGTCTAGGTATTTCTGTATGTATGGGTATCGACACACACACAACATCGACACACACACACAACACCAACACACACACACAACACCAACACACACACACAACACCAACACACACACAACACCAACACACACACACACACACAACACCAACACACACACAACACCAACACACACACAACACCAACACACACACACACAACACCAACACACACACACACACACACAACACCAACACACACACACACACACACACACACACCAACACACACACACACACACACACACACACACAACACACACACACACACACACACACACACACACACCACACACACACAACCACACACACAACACACACACACACACACCACACACACACACACACCACACACACACACACACACACACCACACACAACACACAACACCCACACACACACACACACACAACACACACACAACACACCACACACACACACACCAACACCACACACACACACACAACAACACACACACACACACACACCCACACACACACACACACACACACACACCAACACACACACACACAACACCACACCCACACACACACACAACACACACACACACACACCAACACACAACACCCACACACACCCACACACACCCACACACACAACACCAACACACACACACACAACACCAACACACACACACACACACAACACCAACACACACACACACACACAAACACCAACACACACACACACACAAACACCAACACACACACACAACACCAACACACACACACACACACAACACACACACACACACACACACACACACATATACAAACACCAACACCAACACGAACACGAACACACGAACACACCAACACCAACACCAACACCCACACCCACACCCACACCTACACACACACACACAACACACACACACATGTATATACCCTTCGAAGGCTTCCTTCGGGAGGCGAGGCGCGCAGGGTTGCGACTTGGGGATCACGCGGGTCAGAGTCGCTGGTGATCGCCTCGATCTCTGCGGGGTCTTTGACGCGCAGCAAAGTGTCACCGGCTCCCGGAGCCCCCGGAATCACGATGTCGATGGTCGATAGCGAGCTCTCCGTGGACTCGCCTCGGGTCCCTCCTCGGGTCTCTCCTCGGGTCTCTCCTGGGGTCTCTTCCGGCTCCTTTGGGTTGGTGGTCTCTGTCGGGCTCTCCAGGCTCCCCCTCTCCAGGCTCTCCGGCTTCGTGTCAGGCTTCTCCTCGAAGTTCTCCTCGAAGTTCTCGGCTTCCGAAGTTTCCGGGCGTTCCGGCTTGGGGCTCTGTTCCCGTTCAGGGCCGGTCTTCGGCCGCTGTGAAGTCTCGTCCCCCCAATCCACCAACTCCGTCTCCTCATCACTCTCGCCCTCCAAGGGTGGAGCCTCTGCCTCGTCCACCGGCGCGGCCCCTCCCGCCACGTCTGCGCCGTCTGCCTCATCTACATCCATGTCGCCTGCCTCTGCGGCCGCCACCGCGGCCGCGGCCTCCGCAACCTCCTCCGGCGGCGAAGTCTGCTCCGACAAAGTCTGCTCGGGTGCCTCCAGCGAGGCCTCTGGTGAGGCCGCCGGGGCCGGCGTGGCCTGTGTGGCTTTCTGTGTGGCTTTCTGTGTGGCTTTCTGTGTGGCTCTTTGTGTGGCCTCTGTCGGCGTCGCCTCCGCGTTGTCCGATTGCTCCAGTGCCTGGGAGACCTCCGACGACTGAGGTGCCTGCTGCGGGAAAGCAAGCTCCTCGAGCGACTCGGGGCTGATTTCTTCGCTGAGTGCCTTGACGATGGGCGCACCCTGGAGCGATTCACGCCGCTCCAAGCGCAGGATCTGCTGGGGCGCGCTGGGCTCCGAATGCTCGTCTTGCTGGATCTCGGAATGAGGGACTTCCCTTGGTGTCTTTGGGTGCGCTTCCGGCCGCCGTCTTGGCATCCTTTTTGGCGTCCACCCTATCATCCACTCCGATCCAGGCGCGAAGGTGATGGAGGCAACAGAGGGGAGTTCCTGAGAGTTTCGACAGTCTCGAAAAAGTATTGGGCCACATCGGGCCATCGCACGCCATTTCTGGGGCCCTGGCCTGTTGAAGCAGACCTGCTGGAGGGAGTGTCCTTTGCCGATGCTTACAACTGATTCACTTCTGAAAAGTATTCATATCGTAATGCATGACAAGAAGGAGTCATCTGAAGAATCATGATGGTCCCTTAACCTTGAACTTTGGCTTTGTAACCTGGTTATGAGGTGGGGAGAACTTGACTAGCTCTGAAAAATGCTCCGTGCTTTCGACTGGGGTTCAATAACGTTGATGGGAGCTCTTTGAAGAACTGATCTTGCCACTGATCAAGTGACCTGACTTTTGACATCTCTCTTAAGTCTCCTGCTAAACACTGTAAACATGGCAGAATGGCAAAAAACAGCTGCTTCAGCAAAAAAAGCTGTGATACTTCATAACCATCCAAGCTATTCCTGAACACTAGAGATTCAACAAGGCATTCGCACGTTGAACGTTCTTCCAGCAGTGATGCATCAAGATGTAATCAGTGCTTCTCTTTTGTGATTGTTGCTTGATTTGCGAGTTTGCTATCTTTTTCTCCAGACCATATAGCAAGGAGCCTCTTTCATGTCCAGCCAGCACTAGAATTGAAAGCATAACATCTTCGGAGAAATAGCTTGATCACATATGCTGTGACATGTCTTCCTGCAACATGGAGCTATCATTTTGAATGGCAAAGAGGAATGGCTTCAAAAACTGGGATGGCATGTGAAACTCCAGCTCCTGCATCAAAAACTCCAGTAGTAGATCCTTGAGACATTACAGTAAGGAGGGCTTAGAGCTTGAGGTGGACACTTCCACAACTGAGCTTCTCCAAGGACGAGTTCACACCCATCTTTTCTCTGTCCTTTCTTGATTTCTGGCTGCCTCTGTGATCATAGCGAAGCGCCGCGCTGAGTTTGTCATGTATGATGTCTCCCAGAGCAGTGGCATCCTCCCAGTTGTTGATGATTCCTGATTCGGGTAAGCTCCAAAAGAGATCTCCATGGGCTTGAGAGACTTGAACTCAATGTCTGCAATCTTTGGAGTTGCTCTCAAAAAGGCCCTCCGACAATAGTTGGGGGCTAATGCACCTTGCTGTTGTTTTTTCTCTAACGCCCACTTTGAGGACTCTACAGGCATTGTAAATGATGGTTTTCCTCCTCAACCTGCATATTCAGCAAGATATTGCTCTTCGCTTGAATTCAAGGTTCTGAGTTCTGAAAGGGGTGCTTTCGGTGTCCAGAGGTTTTCGTATAGAAACTTGACCCCACTTCCACCGTTAGATTGCGTTGGTGGGTGATTCCTCCTATATTGATTGGGTCCTGAAGGTGTGTCGAAGGTAGCAGGAGTTGTTCGTTCTCAATTCATGCATACAGAGAGCTTGTTAACTTGAGAGACTTCAAAGTTTGGGTTTCTGCTTGGACTTGCTGGTTTAGAAGGTTAGCTTGAAGTCACTGCGCTAGTATGATGGCGTATTTTCATGCTCGCAGTGCGGTCCTCTGCAATAGGGAGGCATCGTCGCACACTTCCTCGCAAGCTTGAATCCAAAGGCGGCCAAAGGCGCAAACATGCAGTTGCTTCCCGTGTCCTCCGCAGCCGTCGCTTCCTCAGATCACGGCGGGCCGCAGCATTTTGAACGTGAAAACAGTTCGCAGTCGAGTGCACGAGTCTGACTGCAGCGTCGCACGCATCTGCGTATCTTGTCCGGCCCTGCTCTCAGGGGCCGGCACTGAGCAAGAGCCAGATGGGCCAAAGGGCTGTCTTTTTCATGAATCGCGCGGGGTCTACTGAGTCAACTCCTAAGCGGCTTACCGGGGCTATGGCTTGAAGGTGCTTTGCTGTGTCTCCTTGGAATCTCGCTCCACAGATCTTAGTTGCCTGATCGTTTCCCGCTCAAAAAGGTTCAGTCTGCTCAACTTTGGGCCAAAAACACGAAGGGCAGAGCAGCGCTGACGGGGGAGCGGAGGAATCGCAGAGCCTGAACTGAACGTGGCCTGGGTGTATCGCCTTGGGCCTTCGGGGGCAACCCGAGAGGTATCTGAGAATCTGGAGGCATTCGGAGGCAGAGGCATTTAGCGGCATATGGCGACACATGGAGTATGGTGTGGCCCCGGTCAGCCTATCCTGGCTTTCAGTAGCCTCCGAATGCCACGCAATGCCTCCAATGCCTCCAATGCCTCTCCTTGGCAGGCGCCAGCTTCTGAGTCCGAGTCAGCGCGTTCCTCAGCTTTTCAACTCGGACCGCCCTTCCGGCCATCGGAAAAGCTGGCAAGTTTGCTGGAGACACCAATATATAATCACTACACAGTCACTACACGCCATTTAAAGATACCATACCCTTTCCTCTCTCCAAGCGGCAGCAGCGAGGACTTGCCCACGTTGGATGCGCCGATGAAGGCCACCTCTTTCGCTTCGAAGCAGCTGACAGCTCGTTTGGCCAGGAATCTTGAAACTCTGAAACCCCCCCCCTTTTCACAACTCAGAGCGAGAGAGAGCGAGAGAGACCGAGAGAGAGAGTTAGAGGCAGCACTCAAGTACTCTCTCGGATTCTCTCGCTTTTGCCTCCGGGCGCTCCGGGGGGATGGTCTGGCTCGGGTGGCACCGGGCGCGCTGCCTCAGGCGTAAAGACATTTAAAACAGCTGAGGGGCTGAGCGGCACCAAGCAGCAGCAAAAAAAGAAAAGAAGAAGGAGAGGCTTCTCTCAGAGAGTCTCTGACAGCTGTCTGAGTCATTTCATCTCGTTGTGCCTCTCCCTCTCTCCCTCTCTCTCTCTCTCAGCTCTTTCTCTGGCAGCTCTCACGCTTCCAATAAGGTTCTAACGAGACAACACAAGAAAGAAACAAGCTTTTCAACTGATGTTTTTGAAGGCAACAACGCTCTCACTTAAGTTCAATTTTTGCTGCAGAAAAACGAAGAGCCACAGGGGCGAGCGCTCCCTCTCTCGCCTCTCCTCGCTTCTCCTCGCTACTTTTTGGGGCGCCCGGCCGCAGGAAGCCCTGGCCAGAGGGAGAGCTGAGAGCGATGGCTGCAAGGCGAAACTGAGAGAATCGCGGGGGGACGCACAGACACAAGGGGAGCCCCGTAAAGCGTTCCCTTTCGTGGGCGGCTCAGCCTTGTGCACGGCGATGGCCATGCGCCCCAAGGTGTCGCCTGCGTCCGGGCGTGGGTCACAAAAGGCAAATGGCATGTTAAGGTGAAGCTTCTTAAGCTTATTAGAAGGTTGTTCTATATCCTTGTTCCATGGCTGCCAATTAGGATCCCTTGCGCTTCGCCCTTGCGCCAACCTTGCGCGGGCTTGCGCGCGCGAGGTACTAGTAGATGGTCAAAATAAACATCGCCAAGAGATAGCTTGCGCAGAGCTTGCGTTCGCCCTTGCGCGAGCTTGCGCGCGCTCGAGAGGTGTGCACGTTGTATCACGACCGACATTTTCCCTAATCGACCTCCTAAGTATCTCACAAGAACCCGCCAAAAAGAACAACACGGCGCTGGCCATGCGCCCCAAGGTGTCGCCTGCGTCCACATGGGTCACAAAAGGCAAATGGCATGTTAAGGTGAAGCTTCTTAAGCTTAGTAGAGGGTTGTTCTATATCCTTGTTCCATGGCTGCCAATTAGGATCCCTTGCGCTTCGCCCTTGTGCCAACCTCGCGCGCGCGCGAGGTTTTCGCAGGTACCAGTAGATGTGGAGGGTCAAAACAAACATCGCCAAGAGATAGCTTGCGCAGAGCTTGCGTTCGCCCTTGCGCGAGCTTGCACGCGCTCGAGAGGTGTGCACGTTTTATCACGACCGACATTTTCCCCAATCGACCTCCTAAGTATCTCACAAGAACCCTCCAAAAAGAACAACCCTCTATTGAAGCTTCTTTGAATGTTGGCCTCTCCCATCGTCCACGGAACCTGGTCACACAGATCCCATGACAAGAGGTGGGCTGTCGAATTGTCCCTTGAACTTGGCTGAAAAAAATGGCCTTTCCGGCCTTTCCGGCCGTCATGCGCGGGATCCGAGCCCGCGAAGATCGCCGGGCGGTGCAGCCCACGCTTCAACCTGGAGAACTTCAACCGAATAAGGGAAACTTCGATGGAGCATCGACAGTACAATCATGTATACAGTACTAAGTAGTACTCCTTTGTGCGCACCTTGGGAGCTTCAGCTTCCCCAGCTGATGCAAAGCAATGAACTCCTGATCCCCAGAGTCCAAAATGTCACAAAGACGTCTGCGAGGGAAGAAAGGTCAGCGCGCGGGAAGGGGGGGTCCTTGATGGCCTCCGGTGCCTCGGCCTCGGCCCTCCTCGAGCGAACAACATCACTACAAAAAACTCCGTCAGACAAAGTCAACCCCAACTTATGGCACCCCCTCATGCACCTCATGCCCCCCCTCCCCGGCCCCCCCATAGATCAAAGCCATTGAGAAACACCACGTGGCTGCTGCGAGAACATCCGAGAACAGAAGTGCAATGGACGTACCAGTCCCTGCCTCTTCCGGAAGAAACTCGGCAGCGGGAGACCCTCCAGGAATCTTCTGACTGGGAAACTTTTACTTTCGCGACAAAAGCCGCGAAGTGTGCGCCTCGGAAGACCCGGAACTTGTGGCAGGGTCCGACCAGCCGGCTTCATCCCAAATGCCCCAATCCTGCAACAAGCACGAACACCAACGTGGCGCAATGGCGAGAAGGTGCGAAGTTTCGTACTTGCTCGTGGCTGTGCGCTCGTGGCTGTGGGCTCAGGCAAGGCGGCAAGCTGTAGGGTGCAGTTGCACACTGCTTGAGCTGGCCTCTGCAGGCAACTATATGCCGAAACTCAGTTCTAGTTTCGGACTCGCTTGAGGCCCCGTTGCATCTGTGGACCTATCCATGGACCTCCTGTGGATCCCCGTGTGGTACCTGTGAACGTGCAGGCCGCGCCGCGGGTAGGGGTTCGTTCATGCTAATGTTGGGTATCCAGGGGTTTCTTTCTTGAGTAGCGGCGCCTCTGCAGCCAAACGGGCCTTCTCCAAGACGTTGACACCCGGATTGTCTGGCACAGGGATAGATGAGGATGAAGGTGAAAATAAACCCGTGCGCACCGAGATTCTCACGCT